GTTGAAAGCGCAGTCCGCTCTGTGTTGAAGCAAAATACTTGCCGCCCGAGCCGAAGGAGGAGACGCTTCAGGTCAGTTCAGCCGCCGGGAATTATGGCTCGCCAAGTGGTGACTACTCTTTTACAGAAGGTTCAGCTACTCAGGCGACAATGTTCTAACCATTTCTGGACCGGTAAAAATTCGATTAGAACCCGGTCCGAATTTCGAACGTATGAGTGCTATATCCCGGGATATCGTGGAAGTTCAGAAAAGGGCCGCCCGACCTATCCTAATAAATTCATCTTCCTCACTCCTTTCAGCGACTATTGGAAGAGCAATTAGAATGGACCACTCCCAAAAATAATTTATACTTTCTGAATATTGCCGACAGTTAGGTGTTTGTGAGAAGGATTACCTGCTGCCGCACCCAAATGAGAGACACTTTACACACGGAATGTGTACTCGAGTTTAACCCGTCTATCGAAAGATTTTTCCGCCAGTCTTCGCTCGAATTATCAACAACTCAAAAGGAGAAACATTTATAACTGCTATGAATAATGACAAGGCCTTGTGTTCAAAACAGGTTTTATTTTTCAAGGGTTGCATTGAAAAGTTGGGCCATGAAATCTTCACGAGATGGCAGTAGATGCTGGCATTCATAGAACTTCGAGGGGGCAAGGCGAGTGCAAGCGACATGATCACGACTGATGCGGATGTTTTCCGTAGGAGAAAGGCAACGGCGACTTATAACATAGCGCTTTGGATGGGAGGATTCTCGACGGTGAAAGCCGTGTTTCGCACTGGTCGTTCTCCTTCAACCTGAAATTTGAGGATTTTTAAACTGTTAAAATTAGGTGCCATAGTGCAGCATGGGACTGAAAGTGCGCCAGAGGCAGGCGAATGGAGTTCCTAAAGATGCGTGGAAGGCGAATGGAGCTTCTTATCTGTTCGGAGGCATTGAAGGCGAGATGTACACCCACCTCCAAAAACATTCTCTGCCATGGCGAGGCGAAAGGGTCCGGAACTGCAGAAGCATGCCGCTTTCTCAGCTCAAAAGAGCACGAGAACCGGACTGTACGCAGTTATACTTGGCTGCAGTCTCCAGAATCCCTCCGCACTAGTCTCAAGGTGCAGCACTTGCCGTTACCATGGTCTCGTAGCGAAACACGCGCTTAGCGGTAGAGAACAATCATTAGTGACAGAAAGCAGGAATTAGCGCCACTTGGGCTATGATAGGCGCCGTCTGACCGCTTTGGAAACGCGCGGCGAGGTATGGAGAAGCAATCAGCCGCCATCGCTTACCGTTCGAGCTCGTCCCGTGCTTTTGTGACAGGAGAAAGCCATGCTACTGTCGCTAGAACCCATTTTCGCCACGCACGGCGGGGACCAGGATGCGCGGGGGTGAATGTACAGTATGCTTTTCAGATAGATGGCTCCCGCGGACTACACATTATGCACGCATTTGGGACAAACCAGCAGTCGAAGCAAACCAGCGATCCTTTCGAACGACAAAGCAACGCTAGCTACAAAAACAGTTGATGTCATTGTTCCGCCCTTAAACGGACGTGACAGCGTGGGCGTGGCTTCGCGCTGAGAAGAATAGGAGCGAGAGCCAGTTTGGAGTGGGGGGGAGGTTTACCATCAGCCTTCCTGATGCCTCTGGCGGTGTTATAAACCAGAGCGAACGCATACGACACCCTTTACTAGGCCACGCTCCACTGCCCAGAGTGAAATCTAGCGCTCATCGGATTCGAGTTCGTGCTCCAAACCCACGCCGCATTTGTTGGGACCTCTTTTACACGGTTCTTCCGAAATTTTGGGATTTGAAACTTCTTTTTGCTGAATCTGTTGACCACACCCCAACATGCCGCGCGCACTATTGTAATAACGTTGAACCTGTTTTTCCTGAGTGACTTTGGTAATATGGAAATAACTGCCGGGACCAGTCCCTCTAGGTCTTACAACGAGATCGGCTGTACTTCGCGCCTGAAAGATTTATGTGAAAGTTGTTCGTATAAGCTTGTACTGGAGCGAAGTACCCACCTCTCCGGCGACATTTTCCGCTAGGCAAGTGAATTGTCCGCTGTCAGCCATTTCGGTTTGAACGATGACCAGTGAGTGCACACCGTTGCCTTCCTAAAAAAGTTCTTTAGCTTTTGGTCATGTCCATGTAAAGCAGATGAGACAGCATCTGACAAGCAACAACCAGAGAAAAAATACACATTCTATCCATACGCTGGAAATTTCATTATATAGCCCACATTCATCGTATGGATGGAGACAGACGTAGATTAAACACCCATTGAAGCATCCCCGTCACGTTAGTGAGCCAGTGAAGAGAAGAGGAGAAGAGGTGCGCCCACAATGGAAACCAAAAAGTCGTCTTTTCCGCCTCTGTCTCCGCCTATAGGACTAGCGTGGAAGGTACTCTTGAAGAAACGAACAGATTTGTGGTCTTTCTTCGGCAAGAAAATTTGTGGGAGCCTCTACGATGAAGAAATTCAAAGAAGAATAAATTCAATGATCCCATCGAACAACTTACATCGATTATTCTGACTTCATCACAGTCTGGGATCTCAATGCCGTCCCGCATCCATGTGACCTGAAATTTTGGAATCTCGCTGCTGTCGTACTGTTTTGCTTCAAGATGAAGAACATTATCGAGGAGATAAAGTCGCAAAAAAATTGGTAAGAGGGTCAAGGGGTAGGGGAAAAAGAGGATTTTAGGAATAAGTTACGGAAACGTAGTAAAAGTTCTGAGGCTAACAACGGTTCAATGTGCATTGTCTTGAATGGTAGCAATTTATTCAACTTATTCCAGGGAATCAATCGAAACTGAGCACTTTTACTATTTCTCCCTGTAAACTTAAGGAAACTTGTAGCGATCTTCGCTCACACCGATAACACTTGCATCACAGGACAATTCAAC